AAATAGATAAGTACTTTCTGATCATTCCCATATTGATTTCAATTTAAGAGCCACCGGTAGACAGCTGTTTCAGCCTATTGGGCATCGTCAGTACCGGGCAGGCGGTCCTTGAATGAAGACCAAATGTTACAAACCAGAAAAGTGATAAAAATAGCTGCGTAAACACAAGTGAAACATAAGTGCAGCTATTATTACATAATAATCCAAAATTCCTGTCATTTAATAAATATTATATTTGTTTCAGAGCTGGATTGATGACTTTACCGCATAATGCCAAGATGCATTATAATTATGCAAATTTCCTCAGAGATTCCGCTAGATCTGAATTAGCAAAAGCCCACTACTATAAAGCTCTCAAGTAAGTATCTGATGAGAGTTTCAGGAGTTGTGAGAGTAAATTTCAGTTCGAATTAATCGTTTCGGCAATATGTCTTATAGTTAATTGAAAGAAAATTGATATTTCATTAATAGAAAGAAAATTGATATTTCATTACCTCCTTCTTCAGTTCATGAATGTGTGAAAGGGAATCATATAATTGTTCACTATAATATTTATCCTAATTGAATTTTCAACGCTATTACTATAAGTTAGATAATAACAGGATCATTGGTTTTGGAAAATATGTAAAAAACTTCAACTCCATGAACAGTCGATTTATATTGCGAAAATTGCAAATAATAAACAAACATTGCTTGCATCCCTGCGAACCATCTGTCAGAGCAGTTTTTCCACTCCTATTGAAACACCTCTAAACCATGGTTTTTGAACGCTTCAACTGCTTCTCGGGCGCTCGTAAATTGTTGACCACGCAGTGCTATTCATAAACAAAAAGAATTTATTGAGTGCTAAATAAATAAAATCATCATAAATTCTGGACTGTGCAGAGGATGAGTCATCAATCCGATGTTTTGAGTGCTCAAAAATTCACCTGTTAACCAGGATGTTTGGGATCTTGCATTGTTATGATGGAGATTGATTCGTCTTCGGCAGTTAGTTTGATGAATCCATTCGAAAACCACCGGTAAACAAATGGTCGTGTACCACTCAGAATTGACTGTTCTACGGTGCTCAGGCGGAACAATAACCCATTCCGACGAAGAAATAGGCGACTATTTATTTAATTGTGCGTCTGCCATGAACAACTCTCGTTGGATTTAACTCTTTTTGGAATACCCACACGTTCTATTACTGTTTTATTTTTGGCTCACACGCATATATGCATGATTCGTCATACACGTCTTTTAAAGCACTACGGTTGAACCTTTCAATCATTTCTATACATCTTTTGACGCAAGCCTTTCTTTGAGGGAATGATAAGTTATGGGGTATCCAACGAGAAAAAGTTTTTGTTATAACTAATTGTTCATGCAAAATTGAATGTTTGAAGTGGAACTAATTCGCAAGGTTGCCTCTGTCTCACAATATTATTTCAAAACGATCTTGCATTATCAGTTTACGCACTACATCGATGTTATATAGCACAACAACCAATTTTAGACGACCTTCACGGAACTCGTTGGCGACTGAATTATGACCACGATAAAATTCACTACACCAGCGATATACTGTGGTTTTTGATGGTGGTTTATCGCTATATAAAAAACTGAGTTCATCGACATATTCTTGTTGAGATAATCCACGTCAAAAGTTGTAAATAATAATCCAACGGAAGCTTTCTCTTGAAACTTCCAGTTTTTTGGTCAGATTAATTTTTTCATCTTACTTTGAATAAAAAGAATAGCACTTGCACGTCAAAACTTTGTGCTAAAATATGTCCAAATTTACGCCACATTTTATCTATTGACATTGATGTTGCCAGTTCCCAAAATATAAATAGTCCCACATCGTATAAATGTTTGCATTTCAGTGCAACTCCTCTTATTTTTCCAGATTATGGCCAACTTATGCTAGCGCTCATAACAATCTTGGCACCCTTTTGGACAATAAACAGGAGGCTGAACAACACTTCCTAGCAGCAATTAGGTGTTCTTCAGACCATGTGAATGCCCACTTCAATTTGGGACAACTCTACAGGTAGAAATTAGTCATCTCACAACTGTTCACACTTGATATCGCTTTCATTCAAAGTTACTTTAACTCATATTCAATAATTGAATCAAATATTTTCAACTTTCATTTCCTTATGCGAAATTATACTGAAATAGAAAATAATAAACTGAACTATTTCAAAAATCGTTTTCCAAATGGCACACATATTTTTATAATTATAAAAACAATTTTGATGGAAGATTCTGTACTATTCAACTTTTTCTGTCTTGTTGAACAGCAGAACATGCTAAAATGAAACAAATTATTCAGCAAAAGCTTTATCGAAACTGGATGTACCAAAGTATTCATACACTATTCAACCAATCAGAATCATTATTGTACTTCTGATTCATTCATCCTGATTTCTATTCAACGAGAATTCAGCAGAGTTAAATCATCGAAGCATTACTTTCTATTCCAAAATCATAATCTTCCGTATAATAATAATACTCATGATGGGTATACTTTCACGTGATATTTCGTTTAGATCATTTGCTGCTTTCGGGTTCATTAGCTGTATTTTGCAGTTCTTTTAATCTGACGTTGCGTCTATAAATACGGCAGATATCATCGGTGCAGGTGAAAGTAGACCTGATATTTTTACGTTTGTGATGAAATACTTCATCGACAAGATGATATGTCTGTCGGACATAAATCTGAGGATCAATGTCGAACGAGGAAAGAATACAAAATCCAGTCATATGTTATCACAAACCGTAATAATTTCTTGTCTTAGCAAAGATTATTCATGTATTCATCAGTTTCCTTTAGATTTACAACTTGAAAACATAACCCACAAATATTCATAATCAACCAACTCAAAACACTTCAGGAGTAAGGAAACGCGCGTCTTTTCACTTTTTATTTCATGTTCATATCTCATCCAATAATTTGGTCAATACTTTAGAAATGTACTTCCACTTCCACAGTTTTATTATACTTTGTCATGAGAAGGACGTACCACGACGGTGTAGCTTGGCATGTATCAATCTCAAGAGCAAATGTGCGAAGAGAGACCTGTATTTTTTGTTACCTGATTTGGTCTTCAATGTTTATTCGATATTGTGAAATTGAGAATTCACATTGAAGACTGAATCTTAAAAGAATGTCCTCTTTGCTCCCAAACGCCAGAACTGCAACAAACGCGTGTTTTCAGAACCAAGTTAAAGGTTTCAGGAGATAGAGTAGACTGATTTCTAATTCTGACACTCAATTATTTGAATTAAAAGGAGTATATTTTTGGGAGGGAATAATTTTTGGGACTAGAAGGTTTTGGCTGTTTACTTAATGTATAATTGATTCAATGCTCATATGAAAGTGATAGTTTCGAAAGTATATTTTCTTTCGTATAATTCAATATTTATATAATTATGAAATCAATTATTTCGAGAGGACCTATTTTTTCAGTTTGTGTCTGAAAGTTACTTCTTTGTATGATCAACAGATCTTTGTGAATAGGTTATTTCGGAATTAATTGCTTTCTTCTTCGCTTCCAAAGTTTTCCTTATGTTTTTGTACAAAGATGAAGAAGCAGATTGCGCGAATTTTTTTCTTGAAATTCGCCGCTATTTTCCAACAGAATGATTCATATAGAGTAAACAACGGGCTGTTTGGAATGGGACTCTTGTTACTGGTCATCGTTCTCACACTTTGCTTTTTATAGACTTTCGAGAGCACCAGAATTACTTTTTTCAGAGATTTTTTTGAATAGTAAAAGATAATATCAGTTCCATCAAACGAAACACTTCAGAAACAAACCGAAAAATGAATTGATCCGTTCACAATTTGGATATCGTTCAACACGTTGATTGAATGGGAAATGATGTAAATGATTGAAAGTGAATCAGATTTTTTGAAATTTTTGGTTGGCAATTATTTTTATACAGAACAAATGATTATATTCCTCGAATCACCGATGGAATGAAATATTTTGATTACGCATTCTATGTGTATCCCCAAGGCTTTAGCAGAATTATAGATTTTTGTTCAATTTGTAACGAATTAATGAATTAACTGTCTTAATCAAATTTATTTTCAACAATACTTCAGTATTACAACTAATTTATTTACACCACTCAGCAACTTACGCCTAATTTATCTTCACTGTTTGTTAACCGCTCGATCCGCTTTCTTGGTACAGACTACCGCTCGGGACGGAGAGCGGCATTTTTATATCGTCAACGAACGCTCCGGATCTCTCTAGGGATTTCGGCAGTGGCCTGGATTATTCGCGGTGGCTTATCGAATGCATTCCCGATGAGTCATGCGTTTGCTCGCTAAGATATCGGTCTGGGCCGGCTTCATATTTATTACATTGCCCCCTTCTTAAAGACGTTTTGCCACGAAATGTCATCCTTAACGTGTGTTGATACCTGCAGGACTCCCCATATCTGCATTGTGAAGTTCGATGGAAGTAACACTCCACAGTCTTTATGCTCGGTCGTGGAAGATGATTACCGCACACCGAAATCTGGATGCCGCTGGATCTGAAGATCGTTTCCAACATGCTTCTCACAATTCTCCAGTCCAGCTTGTCGAGCCCAGAGGATGAATTCGGGATTACCAAGTCCACGAGATTCTGGTCGAGCATCGTCTTCTTCAGTCTAGTAAGACTCCTTCAGACATCTTCATAGGACGGGTTGTCTCGAGAATGCTTTTTGGTCACCAAGATGTTTCTCTGACCCTTCTTCAATTGTAGCACCCCTTCGACTTCTGGATTCTGTTCTCGTAATGTTTGGAGCTGACCGAATTTCTTGTTGAATACCACAGCGATACCCTTGGACAATTGGAGACAATTGGAGCTAGTGCGTCATCAACTGGAACCTTGAAAAGGTCTCGTGGCTCTTCTCGGTACGACCTTCTGTCCGTTCGAGTATAAGGACATGAATTGCTGGAACGTCATTCCATCCTCTGGTGGTCTGAGGGCGCGAAATTGGTCGTGATTTCCAGCATTAGCGGCCAATATATTGAAATGGACGACCCTAAGATTTTCTCGAGGTGGCTTATGGATTCGGTAGATGAGGTCATTAATCTTTATCATGATTTTGTACGGATCTTCCCACGAGTTCCGCAACTTCGGATGTAAGGCTGTGGTTCTGGTCTTTCGAATGTCCAACAGTTTACATATTTCTTGGAACAGGTTGGACTCAAAATTCCTGCCCTGGTCCGAAGGCAGCTCCAATGGGACATCGACTCAACATATCCATTCCTTTATCAGGATGTCAGTGACGGTGAAGGCTTCCTGGTTGGGCAGGGCATAGGCTTCTGCCCACTTGCTGAAGTAGTCTATGGCTACTAGGATGTATTTATTTCCATGGTCGGACTCTGGGTACGGGCCGGCGATGTCGATGGCGATTCTCTCTAAAGGACTACCCACGTTATACTGGCGCATTGGAGCTTTTGGTCGTATCCGAAGTCCGTTATTGGCAGCACATACAGCACATTTTCTGCACCAGTTCTTGTAAAACTGTTGTCTCACTTTCTGGAGGGTCTTCGTTACTCACAGATGTCCTCCAGTGACTCCATCATGAAGGTAAGGGAGTTTCATTGTGCCCAGTAGAACTCAACCGCTGGCGAATAACCTGTTACCTCCTGCCACGATTGTCTTCGGTAACTTTCCTTCCATCCGATGACTTAACCAAGATCTGGGTCTTCTTCTTCATGGTCTTCCTTGATCTTATTATCCTCCCAATTATCATCTACAGCTCTAGTTCTACAAATGGCTGCTTTCTTCTCTTCTGCTCGTCGGCAATGTGAGCAGTTATCGGGGCATGGTCTCCGTGACAGGGCATCTGCGTTTTTATGGCTAGTTTCAGCTCGATGTTCTATTTCGAAGTCAAATTCTTGAAGTCTTTCAATCCAGTGTGCTACTTGGCCCTCGGGATTTTTGAACTGCAGCAGCCATTTGAGAGCTGCATGGTCCGTTCTCAACAGAAATCTTCTTACATACACGTATTTGTAGAAATGTTCTACACCTTTGACAACGGCCAACAGCTCTCGCCTGGTGACACAATGATTGCTCTCTGGTTTACTGAGCGTTTTGCTGAAGTAGCCAATAACTTTTTCTTGTCCATCCTGGATCTGAGAGATGACTGCTCCAAGTCCACATTGCTGGCGTCCGTATCTAAAATGAACTTTCCGTTAGGTAGGGGATAGCTCAAAACAGGAGCGTTGATCAAAGCTCTTTTCAACTTTTTGAATGAGTCTTGGCATTCCTCAGACCACTGAAACTGGATCTGCCTTTCTGTGAGTCGGGTCAATGGTTTGGCGATGTTGGCAAACCCCAGAACATATCGAGGGTAGTAGGTGCATAAACCAAGAAAGCTCCGAAGCTGATGAATGTCTTTTGGAATAAGACAATCCTTGACTGCTTTGATCTTTCGTTTGTCTACCGCCTCTCCTTTCCCAGAGACAACGTGGCCAAGGTAACGCACTTCTTTCTGCAACAGTTGGCATTTCTTGGGAAATTCCAATCCATAACTCCTCAGATGCATGAATACCTCCTCCAGATTCTTCAAGTGATCCTCGAACGATTTTCCGACCACGATTATATCATCGAGATACACTAGACAAGTCTTCCATGAGAGAACCGTCTCCATCAATCTCTCGAAGGTCGCTGGAGCATTACGAATCCCGAATGGCATAACCGTGAACCGCCACAATCCTTAGCCGATGGTAAAAGCTGTTTTTTCTCGATCTTCTGGGGCCAATTCAACTTGCCAATATCCACTCTTCTAATCCAAGGTCGAGAAAATTGTGGAGCCGGCTAGCGTGTCTAGGGTGTCGTCGATTCTTGGAAGAGGGTAGCTTTGTTTCTTTGTCACGTGATTCAGTTGGCGATATTCCACGCAAAACCTTGTCGAGCCGTCCTTCTTCTTCACTAACACGACTGGGGAAGACCAGAGGGTGTCAGATGGTTGGATGACTCCTTCTTTTCCCATATCGCTGACTATCTTGTCTGCCTCTTCTCTCTTGGCAAGAGGGAG